CCGGTGCCTCGTGGGGGTGCTGGAGGGCGCATGGGGAGGGTCCCCACAGCCCCCTGGGCTCCGGACCCCCCCGGTGAATTGCTCAGGGTGCCAACACGGGGACACCCATCCTGCCCACCTGCCCACCGCAGCCCGGCACCCACCAGCACCCCCCAGCCATGGCAGTCCCGGCGTTTGCGGGCAGCACAAGAAGGGGACAAAGAGGGGGGGGGAAAACCTGGCAGCCCCCAGCCCTTCGGATACCGGCATTTCCTGGGCCCGGCGCCAGGATCCGGCCGCGCACACCCGGGCTTTGCCGCCAAAGCCGCCGAACTCCCGCGCGGCGCAGGACGCACACGCTTGTTGCACAACCTCGGCCAACAGCTCCTTTTATTTTTAGGCTCTTACGACACGGCTTCCCCGCAGCCCGCCCGAAATACTGCCGAGGCACCGGATGGGCCACGGGATCCAAAATGCCCTGCCCCTGCTCCCAGCCCCGGCAGCTCTCAGAGCAACTCCATGCACCAGCCGTGTCTCAGTTTCCCCATCAGTTACCTTCACCCACCAGCCCTGCGATGCCAGCCAGCCGTGCCGACCCCGAGCAGACCCCGAGGGCTCTCTCCCGCCGAGCCCGTCACCCAGGGCTTCGTTAAATCCCCTCCGTGCTCCGCAGCACAACAATCCCACCTGGGAACTGAAGATGAGGCGAGGACACAGCTTGGTTCGGTGGCTGCAGCTGCCGTGTGTCTGCAGGAGCCACCGTCCCCACGTGACACTGTCCCCCAGACGGTCCCCAGCCCGTCCAAGACACTGGGGCAGGATCGTCCCCCACAGTGTGGGAACCGGGGTGGGAAGAGCCGGGACAGCGTCACCACCCAGGACCTCCAACGGGAGTTAAGGGACAGCCGGAGCCTTTAAACCCACCAGCGAACACAGGCACAGACACCAGCTGGTCACCGGTGCCGGGCGAGATGGCAGCTGTGCCACGGTGCCCCCATGCCGGCCTGCTCCTGGCGCAGAGCCGCAGCCCGGCCGCCCATAACGTCCCCCCTGGCCCCCCGCGGTGCTGCCTCTTCCTTACAAGGGGAGGGCTAAGGCCAAACTTGTGCCATGTCTGTGGCTTCAGCCCCGGCTGTCCCCTACGCAGCACCCTGCGGGGCAGAGCAGGCAGCACATCCCACCCCAGGGAAGGGCAGCACCGCACGGATGAGAAATTTCCTGCAGGATGAGCAGATCAGAGCATTTTACAGCCAAAACGTGGCAAGAAAAGGGAACCAAGAGGTGGAGGAAACAGAAGCAAGCACAAGTCCTTGAACATCACGGACAGATGCTGGATCTGAGATCAGCAAAGGGGTTTTGGCTGCTTTGAGCTCTGGGGATGGCGGCCACAAGCGAGAGCAGTGGGGTTTGGCCAGCCCAACCTTCCTGCATGGGCAGCGAGTCGGGGCCAAGCTCGATGCGGTGCCATGGAAGGGGCTGGTGGAAGGCTGGAGGCAGTAAGCGATGGGGATGCAGATGGTGGGATGCCGCCCGTGCACCTCTCGCCTCCAGAAACAAGGATTGGGCCTGCACTGGCTGCCACGACCCCTGCGCTCCTCCCGGGGGGTGTCCCCTGGGACCTGCGTCACCAACTCCGCCCGGCACCCAGCCCTGCCGGTGGCCAGGGACAGGAGCCTACCCCAGCACCATGCCAAAACGCCAGTGTCCAGGCGAGGGGACTCCTCCGAGGGCAGGCAACGCCACGGGGACGATGCCCCACCAGCGAGGGCACGGGTCTCTTCCAGCTCAAGCTCTCCAGCTGCGATGCTCAGCCGGGCCAGGGCGCCGAGGACTTTGATGGCGAGCCAAGCCACGCCAGGCCTGTACTGTTTTCTAATCCCAGTGTAATTAATGACCTTATCTTTGGCCAAAGCCATTTAGATTAAGTGGCTGGTGTGATGGGCTCGGCGGCTCCGGCTGCACAGATGGAAGAGCTGCGTTTGTCTGGGGATTAGCGGAGGGCAGATGGAGTGAAGTGCCATTCCCCATCCCCAAACCTCTCGGCACTGACAGCAGCCTGAAACCTGAGACCACAGCAACTTTCTCAGCGAGTCCTGGCCGGGACTGGAGAGTGATTTCGCATTGTTTGCCCCTTCTGCAGGAGGCCGGGGAGCGGGCAGGGCCCAGAGCAAGAGGAGCAGGAGTTGAACAGCATGTGCCGGCGCCAGGAACTGGTGCGACCCTTGCCAGGAGCTCGACCCCAGTCCCTGCCTTGAGTCCGTCGAACAGCAGAGGTACAACAGACACCAGCTTCTTCCTCGGAAAGCAAATCATCGCTGAGACGCTGTCCCTGGCTCGGCATAAATAAAAACCTGCGTCTTCATCGGCAGCCCCTACCTCTCCGAGAAAGCAAACTCAGCTGCTGCTTGCTGCTGGCAGGATCAGGGAGTGCTTCCACCTTCCATTTCCCGGTCCAGCCACAGCAT